TTTATCTTCATTAACGGCCGCGAGCTGCCTCGTAAACCTGACTCTTTCCCGTGTACCGGTGCAACTACAACTCTCTTGCGCTCGCCCGCTCGCGCCGATTTATTATTATTTGACAGCTGCCGTTCGCGCGCGGAATCAATCTGGAGCAGCGAACGCTCGTTCTCTCTCGCTGTCTTTCCGCGCCGGCGCGGCGAAATTTGTTGCTCCGTCGCTGTATAAACACGCGTCGGCGAGGCCCTTAGGGTCACGCGAGGCTTGTTTATGCACGCTCGCCTCGAGCTGCTCGCTTTTGCGGACCGCGATAATTGCGCAGCCTTGCTCTCGCGCGCGCAGCTCTCCTTTGCCTCGTTTTTCGCATTAAAATTGCCCGCGCGATTGATTCGCTCGCTTCGCTTTGATCCTAGCCACGCGGCGAATAATCGGCGAATAATCGAGGGGGCAACGCCGATTAAATTTTAATTAAGCCCGATGATTCGGCGACGAGCTTGCATATCGACGCGAAACGCGCTTGGCCTTCGCGCCATTATTATTTCCTTGGCTGCTGCAATAAAACCGAGATAGCGCTCTCGCGCCGAAGTTGGCGTGCGGCTGCACAGCACTGACCTCCGGCCCAGCTGCCCGACAAATAGACTCGCGTGGGAAGCACCCGTCCTCGTAGTCGGGGCCGTAAATGACTTTGTCGCGCGACGGCTCTTTTTTCGCAGGCCCGAGAAGGGATCAACCTGCTCAACCTGCTGACCCAATCGATTTTTACGGCTGCGAGCAGACGACCGACGGCTCGCCGCTTTGTAGCGAGCCGCAGCCGCGCAGCGTTATATTGAAATGGCGCGCGTAATCGAAGCGGGGCTGCGGTGCAGTAGTAGCCGTCGCGGACTCGTTAACCCAACCGCCAGCCAGGAGCGAGCAGATAGAGATCGCGCCTATACAGATCGCGCCAACGTCCTGCGCAACCTTTCTTTTTCGCGACGCCCATTACGCTTGCTTGCTCGTCTCGTTGTACCCTTGGAGATCGACTCGCGCGCTAACTGCATCTCATCTTTTTCCTCCTTCTCGCCAACGAACGCTTGGCAGACGACAACCGAGGCGCTTTTGCGAACCGCGCGACGTCGACGGGATTCGACCGACGAAGCGAGCGGCGAGCAGGCTTTCCGGAGGACGAGTGACCGCGCGTTCGTCATTAGTGTCATTAGCCGCAGAGCTAAGCGAGCTGGCATTTCACTTTCGACCGTTGCGCGCTCTCCGTGCCACGGCGTTATTGTCTCGAGCGCGTGTTACGCAAATTTGGTTGTCGCAGCAGCTCGAACGCAAATTTACCGCTAGCCGGCGCATCGTAAACGCTCGCTATGTTTGAACGCTGCGGCAGCAGCTCGGACCGAAGGCGTTTTGAAACGTCCGCTCTCGACTGGCGTCACGGGGAGCTGGGCTGCGAATGGCGACAACCAGAGCCTCTTCTCATTGCCGCGCTAATCAACGGCCATTCTTTTGTTTGCCGCGGCGGCTTGCAAAATTTGCCTGCCTACCTGGAATCCTTCGAGTGCTTGGACTTCTGCTTTCCATTCGTGACGCGCCCGCGGCTGCTGCTGGCGCAGATCGAAGAGACAAATGTGAAAGCTGCGCGGATGCAGCGCGCAGACGCCGAAGCTTGCCGATGTGGCAGCGGCGTCGCGAGGCGAACGTGCGGGCTATCGGATTTCAACGAGGGGTCTTTACGCTCTGGATGCCGGCGCGGCCCTGGACCGGCGTCTTCCGCGCTTGTCTGTGCTCTGCAGCGCCACGCCGGTCCTTCGGTGCTCGCGCGCAGCGGCCCGAGCAACGGCGGAGCGGAACTCGCACTTCTCCAGTTGGCGCGCGCGTTAACAATCGAAACAACGATCGACGTTCTTGTGACCGTCATCACTCGTGCACTTATCTGGAAGCGCCGCGCGGTAAACGTCTTGTAATTTCCCATTCATGGCCAATGACACTCGGACGTTTGCGAGCTGTGTGAACGTTCCCTCGGCAATCAACGCGTAACCTTAAGCGCGGAAAGAAAAAGAGATGCAATAATTGGTCTATTTAACACTCCCGAGAGTGAGACCTCTGCCTTTTGGAATGAGCTAATCGCAGAAGTAAGCGCGTCTACGAAACAAAAGCGCGTATATGGGAAAACCGAGTAGTGCGCGCGCGCGCGCGCGCGTGGCGTTCGCGAGAAGCCCCGTTTCCTCGTCTCGCCCTGCATCGGCAAGTGCAACAGCCGATAGCACACATGAAATACAGCTTGATCGCTCTCGACGCTCGTCAATTCTCTGCTCGTCTGCTTCTCTGCTTGGTGCCGTGCGGTGAGACCGTCACGCTCGAAACAGATATAGCACTCGAAATGCGCACAATAGCTCGCTGTCAATCGTTTATATTCTCTCTCGAAATAACTCGTATCCTTACGGCAAAAAATACTATTTATTCGGGCTTGGCTTGTTTCGGCTCGTCGTTTGGCTTTTTTTCTTTTATTTTATTTTTTTTAATAGCCGTGACGACGAACAATTTGAAAGCCATGAAATCCGCTTCCTCAATTTGTTGTTCGGTCTTTTTACCATTTCGAAAGCCGGTGCAATGCAAATCACGCCGCCTGCCGAAGAATCCAACGGAGGTCGGGAAGCCAAGCAAGCCGTTGAAACGGAACGCATGTTAACGCGTGCCAATTACGCAACGAAGGCACACAAAAGAGGAACGATAGCGGAGATGAACTTGTCAATGTGTCCGCGCGGCAATTACATCGCGCGATTGTGCAGCGCGTACCGGGCCATATCTGCAGCGGGATCGCGAAGCGACCGATCGATCGACCGATCGCAAAGCTCGCGAGCTCGAGAAGGCGGCCGTCCGCGAGCATGAACGGCAGCATCGCGATTCTCGTGCGCTGTTGGCGCGCGCTGATCGATGTTACGACGCTTCATTGTCTAGTAATGAGGCTGGGAGGGGCAGGATGCTCTCGGCGAGCGCGAGAATCGGCTTCGTCGCGATGCTATCTTGGGATGTACGTATGGTTAAGTGCCCACGCTCGCGCGCGGACTCGGCTGATTCATCGCGAGGCTAATCGCCGGCGCAGCGCGCCTGACAACGAGCCTCTCAACCGCAGAGCCACCAGCGTCGCGACGTTCGCTTGGCGATTCGCTGGCACAGCCGCCTCGTCGAATTCATCAGCGGCAAGCTCGAGCCATCGCGTCGGGCATACCGAGTCGCTAATTGAAGAATTAGGCGAACGGCTTCTAGGGGGTGGGCCTTCCAATGGTAATAACTCAATTGATATTGTTGGCGAGTGGCGCGACGATCGAAGAGCGAGGAAGCCTCGAGCGCTAATAAACCAACGAGTGCTCGCGTGCGTCGCTGCAGCCTGACGTGGAATAAATGAGGCCTCTTGACAAAACGGACAAGAAGACGGAAAAAGGGAGGAAGAGAGAGATGGAAGTGGAGCGATAGCGTATCGCGGAAAAACCGGTATAATTACGCAATTTAGATTCAGTCTTACGATTCCGGTTTCTGGACCTTTCATTAAAAGCGAGAGTGGGCGTGCTGCAGATGCGCGCAGCTTCTCGCCCGATCGCGCATTAGTCGCCGACGTCGCGTCCACTCCCACCAGTCCGGTCGCCGCGACGACGTGTGTCACGTATCGGCGCGCTTCGGAATTCGTTATTACACGGCGACGACGCCTGCGTCTACGAGCTTCCGAGAAGTCCGTTTAGATTCGCGCGGCGAAAGTCACGTGTGACCGCGCTCGCGCTCGCGGCTTGGCGTGCTGTCACCGCGACAGACGCGGCCGGGGACGAAAGATAACTCCTACACCTCTCATCAATATTGAGAGGCATTGTTGTCGTACGAGCTAGATCCGCCTCCGTGCCCGTGTGCCAGCTATGGAAAACACCGAGGCGCGACAATGCTCGATGATTAGGCCTTACGTAAGCTTGTGCGCGGTGCGTCCCGCGTCTTGGCAGCCGGTCAAATTTGCCCGCGGTTCCGAGGAACGCGCGTGTCGGACGGCGACTCTCGGGCAGACGCGACAGGTTCGAGGACCGAAAATCGCGTATTATATTTCCTCGCGTGTTTGCGTGGTAATTAACAGGCCGATAGCGATAGCGGTCGACTGATAGCTGCGTCAGCTTTAGTCGACAAGTTGCAGGGGCCGCCTCGCTCGCCAAGCGCACGTTCGCCGGACGGAGCAGCCACTCTCCCCTCGAGTTTTGCAGCGTGAAATCACACGGGCGAACGGAGAAGCAGCTCCGAGCGAGAGCAATTAGGGGCATTCCTTTGCGGACGAGGCGGAGTATTTCTGCGGTGGAACAGCCGGAACAACCAGCTGAAACGGCCCTTCTCACACTCAAATTGATTTCGACGTTGCTCTCGGCCCGCTCGAGCGTAAGCACCAGCAACCCCTCGGCGTGCGTGCAATTCCTTTGTTTTTGTGCTCGGATGACGCGATTACGATTGCGCTCCATTCGACAGCCGGCTGTTTGATTCACAAAATTGGACCTTTGCAAAAGGAAGACAACGAATGCCGAGTCTTTGCCGAGAAATCAGTTTTGATGATCTCGTTCCATCTCGCTGACAGCCGGAAAAACTCCGAAGCGTCGGGGAGACTAAAAAAATTGATTTCGGATTCAACGGAGTAAGGAGCCATTGTGGGCCAAGGGTTCGTTTTTATAAACCTTGGTTCTTTCTGGTCGGCGACCGTCAGCCCGTGTGCAATGCGTTCCCGAACAATTGGCCAACTGGTTGTCGCCGTTCGTTCTGCGTGGACGTTGCGGAGTTTGCGTCGTTATATCGGGATAACGAAGTAAGCCCGCGACGAGTGGCGAGCGCGAAATTGTGAGGCTCGACAGGTATGAGATTTCGCAAGGGATGAGAGTGTTGGCTGCGTGTAATTCTGGGAAAGGCGAATGGCTCCGAGATTGCGAGGCCGCGAGAAGACGAGAGTAGCAGGAGCTTGAACGAAGCTGCAGAGAGGCTAAAGGCGCGCGTGGTTATTGTTGCAGTTGGCCGCAGTGTCGCCGGCAGCGGTGTCGTCTGCGGTCGGCCCGGTGCTGCTCAAGTACAGGGTTTGCCGGCCGCGGCTGCTGCTCGCTGGCTCGAGGGCCGAGGTCGATCCCGCGGCCGACGTGGCCCTTCTGCACGGCGAGGTGCTGCTCATCGAGGACTCGGCTCGGCAGTACAGCCCCATCGGAGGTAACGATCCGCGCGCGCGCGCGCGCGCTTCTGCGTGTCCGTTGAGCGCCGTCGTTTGTCTTGCAGACAGCGATCGGCGATACCGAACGACGGAGAAGCTGCTGATCGCCGAGGAGGAGTACCGAGAATGCCTGTGCAGCGCCAGAGAGCTGTACGCCCGGCCCTTAGCGCGGAACTACCCCGACTTTCACGACGTCATATTCCAACCACTGGCTGAACTTGCCAAGGTCAGCGCGGAGCTCTGCCGAAGGGTAAGTTGCGGCGAGAGCGAGCGCGTGCACTCGGAGAGCCAGCGCCCGACGGTAGAGGACCCGGCAGCGCGCCGAGCACGCCGGCACACGACCTCCTGCGCGCGTCGATCCCGACAGATGGAGACACTCGCGTCTCCTCTCCTGCCGCGAGCGTCGATCGGACGATCAGCTGGCGAGTCGGTACGGACGTCGCGATTGGAAAGTCGCTCGTCCGAGCGAGCTTTTTGCGCGTTGACGGGAGAGGATGCGGGTGGGGGCACGAAACGAAGGCGGACAGCCAGCGGCGAGCGAGCGCTGCGTAAAAAGCCGAAAGAAAGCCAGACGCGCGGAGTTGCAGGCGAGTGGAGGCTGGGGCTTCGGGCTGCCACGGACAACAGCGCCGAGCGAGCAGGTGCGGAATCAAGAATAGCCGTGAGGGCGCGCTCGCAGCGGGGCGCGCCGTGAAAATAAAAGGGAGGCGGCCGGAAACGCGCGTGCCAGCCGCGGCTATGGCTCGCGGAGTCGCGCGACGAGCGGCGCTCGGCTGGCTCTGCGAAGGCGCGCGAAAGGGGTTAGCGAGTCGGCACGAATGATGACAGTGCTTGGCGCACCCGCGTAAAGATTCGCGGAGCGAGGCAGGCGCCAGCCGGAGCAAAAACAAAGAGCTTCCGACTGACGCGCGGCGCACGCCCCTCGAAAGAGGACCGAGCCGTTTACGAGCGCCGCGCGGAGACGCGGCTAATCTTTAGCTTCTTATTATTAGCTCGTAAAGCCCGGACGTTTTCATTTCGATCTGCCGCCGCCGCTCACTCGTAAAAGCGATTATTAATTGAAAAGGAAACCCATTGCCGGCCCTGCCCACTCCTTTTTTGCCGCCATCGTCTCTCGGTCGAACGACTCCCCGTCCAATTTATATGTCATTCTTCTTGGGCTAATTTCCGAGGGAGCCGGGGCTTCTTTTCTTTTTTGCCGGCGTCTTGGCAGCGTCGTCCCGGCAAATGGCACTGCGAGCCGCGCCGATAGACAATAGAGTCGTCCTCGCCGCCGCTGCGGGATCGGAGCCGCGCGCCGTCACTGCGACTCGCGCGCCTGGGCGTGCCGGGGCTCCGTTCACGATGAAATGTTCGAGAGCGAGTTTTCAGCGAGCGCGTAATTGCCGTGCGCGTGTTTGCCTTGGAGAAACTACTGCAGCCTCGGAGAGAGAGACAAATATTGATGCGTGCATCGCGCTCGGGAGTTTATTAACCCATTTAATCTATAAATAACCACGACGGGGCCGATGTATTTACTGCGAAAGGGCCGGAGTCGGAGAAAAATGGACGTCGGCCGAGCGCTGCGGCTAATAGCCCGTAGCCCGGCCAGGAAAAACAGTGTCTCGCTGCTTCGCGCGCAGCCAGAAATAATAGGATAAATGCAAATGCCGCGGCGTAAGTTTCAGCGCGCGCGCGAGCTCCGAGGCATGTTCATAGGCGTATCCCCGGCCGCATCGCCTCGCGTATAAAATATGTCGTCTTTGGCATAACAAGTGCCAGCAGGAGCAAGACGAAGTGCGCTCGGGATGCCTTTCCCCGCTGGCGTTGCTCGACAATTAAGCGTAATCACACACCTGGGGAGTCGCGCTTTCTCGATCCGAAAAAAAAAGCGAGAACGACGGCAAGCTCTCCCGCGATATTCGAGCTCGTAAATAAAGCTTTTTGCTCTCTCTTTCTCTCTCGCTCGCTCGCTCGCTCGCTCATTCACTCACTCGAAATGCCTGAAAGCTACCTCTCGCGAAAGTAGTTTTCCACCTCGCGCGCTGCCGGTTGTGCGGCGCATACGCGTGCACGAGCCCTCGAGACGCGCGGTTGTCTTCGAGGGCGCTAATGAAACGGCAGCACCGCTCGGAGAGCTGCCAAATGCCTTTCTGCGCGTCGCTCGCGGCTCGCGAAAGCGTGCGACGACTATAGGCCTGCGCGAGTCGAATGCTAAAGCGTGGCGGCAGCATTTGCGAGCGAAAGTGGCGAGTTCGCGCTCGGGTTCTTCTCCTGTCGTTCGGCGGCGCCTCTTCGGGCGTCCCGGTTAATTGCGCGAAGAAGAGGCGCGTCGGATGGATCTGGTGCACGTGCGCCGCGTCCGATTGGGTCGTAGGTGCCGCGGCAAGTCAATGCTCGCGAGAGAGTGCAGAGCAGGAAGTTTAATAACCTGATCGTCGTTGCGCGCCTGCTCCGCGTGCAGTTAGCGCGCGCTCGTCCGTTTCTTCTCTGCTGCCGCTTCCTCTTCTTTTACTGCCGCTGTTGCCGCTGCTGATCGGCTCGCGCATGCCTATAGAGTCGCTCTATGGCCCGACAAAGAAATTTCTTCGCTAGATTACGCAGAGAGAGAGAGAGAGAGCCCGTACCTTTTACTGCTGCCTGCGAATGCAGATCTCCGCCTCCCTTTCGAATTCGCATTATCGCCAGCCGAGCTCCATTAGGCTGTTTTCTCGCCGCGCAGGCTAACGACCCAGCGATCGCCGGGAAATTGGATAAGCCCGGGCGAGATGATGTACGCACCTCCGTCCGAGAGGCAGAGAGAAAGAGAGAAACCGCGATAAAAACTCGTCTTGAGCGCGCGGCCCGAGAGAGAGAGAGAAAGAGAGAGAGAGAGCGAGGAATGCAAAAAGGAGCGAGCGAAGCGTAGAAATTTTGGGCAGAGGAGAGTGACTTATGAATCTGGCTGGCCGACCGCTGCGAAGAGCAAAAAACGACGGTAATGGGCAGCAGTGAGAGAGTGAGGGGCGAGTGGTCGAAGCGCGACCACGCGTGAAACTCGAGACAAGAGCGAGGTGTCGCGAGCCCTCGCTGGATCGATCATATGGCTACGGTGAATAATTTCAGCGCCAATAACGGTCGAGCGTCGATAGATCGCTGCGTGGCGATGCGCCGACGCGACCCGCACTCCCCCGCCGCCGCGTCCAGTCGCTCGTCTCACCTCGATATGCGCCTTACGCGCGCGCGCGCGTAATCTAAGAGGAACCGCCGGATCACCGCTCGCATCGTCTTTTCGCCTCTCCGAGAAAATTGAATAAAACTCGTCGCTTGATTTTATTTTTGCGCCGTGCTGCGCGCGTATAACGCGTATCGGGACGATCTCTGTCTCTTTCTCTCTCTCTCTCTCTCTCTCTTTCTTGAAATTTAAGAGCTCTGTGCCTCCATTTTTTCTTTTACTTTTTCAACATGACGCATGTCGGTCGATTTTTATGCCTGGAAACATCAGCTCGAGGTTCCCGATGAACGAACCTGTCCAATTTACTGTTCATGTAAAAATATCGTTGTAGCTCTTTTTTTATTTTGAAATGCGTCGTTTCCGACTGGTTCGTTCCTTCTTTCGATTCGATATTTTCGCCAGATCTTTATGCACGTAACCCGTTGAGTTACGCGTTCTCTTCTTTCTTCACCTACCACAAATGAAATTTTAAATCGATTAGTTAGGTGAGTTCGTGTCTCGACCGTATTTGTTAAAAAACGCAAGCAACTTACGAGTAGGACATTTCTAACGACCGGCATATTAAAAGATAACATTCTAATATGCTGTAAGATATGGTACAGTAACAGATACGAGACAAATTTCATAATAAGATCAACATAAAATAAAGAAAAAACATGTGATTGGTGTAAAACAAAAAAAATTACGCACTTGTTACTTATTTGTCTGTTTTCCATAATTTGCTGGAATGAATAAGCTCCAAAAGTATTGGATGTCGATAACTGATGTCCACTCGACGCCTTACCATTCTTGTGGGAATATATCGCTGACCAAATCTGACAGCTGAATGAACGAATAAGTGTTATCAGTGGAAGCGAGATGCATAATGGGCACGTGCGGGCGCGACAAAATGGTTAGGGAGCAGGCGGCTTGGCGGTCGCAGGGAAAGGTTATCGAACTGCCGACTATTTAAACTGTCGAGCTCTGAAGCTTTTAAAATACGAATTTAAAAGTGTGGCTGCGAGGATGCTCGCGAGAGCGAGGCGTCGAGGATGCAATCGAAGCCCAGGCGCGGACGAACAAAGCACGCGGAAGATGTAGCAACGTGTAATTTATGTCCAGTCGTGCGCGCGGCGGCCGATGAACGGCGACGAACGATGCTCGACAACGGCAATACTGGCGCTCGGCGCTGCAACAGTAGTGCGCGCGCGGGGGGCTTAAAAGTCGCCGAAAAGTCGGCTCGTCGCGAGCCGGCGAAACGTGGCCGCGCGCGAATTAACGGATCGACGACAATCCCACGCCGGCAATGTCGCGTCGTCGTCGCGCTGAATTCCCGACGGGGGACGAGATCGGGGCGGGTATAATCGTTTAATCGGATTTTTTTTCGGGCGAGTCGCGATAGCTTGCGCCGTCACGCTGAGCCCGTGTGACAATGCCGGACGGCGACGGTTGCGCGCGCAATCGCGAAGACCATGGAATGTGCGATTCGACATTGAAACAAGCGGGAGCTCGCACGCGCGTGCATTTTTGCGAGCAGGAACGCGCGCGGTCGATCGACTCGCCTCGGGTCCTGCGCGCACCCAGCGAATCGGCACTCGCCCGACGCTGGGATAATCCAAGGTCGTTAACGAAGCGAACGCCTCTGGCGTTAATGAAAAACGATCGCGCCACTCCGCCTCGATCGTTCCAATAGGTTCGCTCGCTCGCTCGCGGCGGGGCCGGCCGGCGGCGATGGCCCGCCTCCGTGCGCGCTGCGCGTCTCATTCCAGATGCCACCCCTGGCAACGACACCTTATCCGGCAGGCATGGGCTCTCGACGTCGCCGAGCCGCGGGAAAAGTGTCCGCGAGCACCCGGCGGCCGACTGTCGCTCGCTGGCGAGCCTCCGCGTAGGCGGCTGCGACAGGGCGGGTCGCGTCGACGCCGATCGACGCGAGATCGACGCTGCTATTCGGTCGCGTCGCGCGCTCTCGGCTCGTTCGTTCGGTCGCTCGCCTCGCCGCCCAGACGATAAAGACTCGCCGGCCGGCTGGCCTCGGAGCAAAAACCAACGTTACGACGCGCGCGCGCGAGATCACAAGCGCGCTACGAGCGACGCGAGAATAAATCTCGGACTCGCGCGCCGGCGAGGGCTTGCGAATGATTTAACGGTATTTATAAGACGCGCGCGGCAAAAAGCCGAGCTCGAGAATAAAGACTCGGCGTTATGGGCGAACGGCTCGCTCGCTCGTATACGTTCCAGCCCGGTCCTGCGCGCACCCAGTCTTGATAGCTCACTCGATCGCTCTCGACGCGCCGCGCTCGTTGGCTTTCGGCTGCGCTTCTCTCGCGCTCTGGACGGCCTCGGCCAGATGTCTTCCGACGGGTTTCTTAACGCAACCGCGGCAACTCGGTGTCCGTCTCGTAATATTGCTTTCCAGGCGAACCAAGTAAACAACCGACCTCCGAAAATAAACAAAACAATCCGTTTATACACGTTTCGGAGCAAAATGCAGGATCGAAACCAGTTGGTGATTTAACGGTTTACATAAATGCTCGTCGTTTGAGAGCAACGAAAAGAAAAGTGTGAACGCGGAGAGAGCAAAGGAAAAAAAAACAAAATAAAGCGGAGATCGAACACGACGGAGTTACGTAAAAGTGAGCGCGGAGTGCCGAACGGCAGTCGCGGTTGGCTTCGCTCCGGCGACAATATTTCAGTATGCGCGCGCGGCACTCGACTCGCGGAACTCTCCTTCTCGCGCACGTAGCTTTTTAAAGAGCAAGGTGCCTGCGTATTAACATAATTCCATGACTGAAATTACGTAATCCCGCTCTCGCGGTCGCGCGCGCGCCGCACAGAGACAGAAAGATATAGCCCGTACCACGACGCCGCCAAGCTCTTCTAATAAATTCCGATCGTGATTCATTGACCTTCGCTCGAGCTAACGCGCATTTTCCCGCCGCAGGAATTCCGCACAATCGCTTGAACTCCATCGCAAAAATTAACTCGAGAGAGAGACAGAGTGAGAGAAAAGCAGCCCCCCCCCCTCCCCCGTCTTTTTTTCCGTCGGTCGCTCTTCTCTTTTCGTTGCTTACTTCTGAACAGCGTATAATATGCAATGCATAAATGCATAAGGGCACGCGCTCGGCGGCGACCGCGACGAAGGGAGAAAGATAGGCATCGCCGTCACGGCCAGATGAGCCAGATGAACTACGACGTGACAATAAGACGCACCGCGAGCCCGCAGATGAGAGAGTCCGTCTTCTTGGACTCTGCTGCCAGTTGGAAGAGCATTCGCGCTGGCTTTGCGGCGCGGAGGGGGGGGGGCGCCTGTGCCGCCGAGTCGCGAAAATCCAAGACGTCGCTTCAATTTCACTTGTCTTGCGCTCTCGCCGACCGACGATAAATTGCAATCAGATATGCATGATTCGGACGCCGCATCGTCCGCGATTGCGACTCGCCGTGTCTTGCGCGAAAGGGCCGCCGCGCGTCGTTTATAATGCGGCGCAATCAAGCCACTGAAAAATGACGCACGAGGGCTTCACGGTATACGTTTATTTGGCGCAAGATCGAACGCTTGCCAAGCATATGGTCGGCATTGTTCGTCGAGCGAGAGCGATCTTTCCGTTTGGCGCCGAATCGTTCAACGAGAAATCCGGCCGAGACTCGAAACTTATTGGCTCGATCAATCGTGGACGCTTGGTACGCGCGCGCGGCCAGTTAATTTCGGGATACATTCAAATTTCAACAGGCCTGCAATCAGAGAATCGATTACGGCTGCGCGGCGCTCGTTTCTTTTTCCCTCGACGCTACGCCCGACCAATGCACGAGCGAAGCTTATAATCATTGGAATAACAAATAGCGGCCGGCGGACAATTAGTCAGTGAGTCACGCATCCCACACAAGGTCGGCATCGAGAAAAAAACCTCGGCAATTGGAATGGAGAGCTCCCGGCTCGAGATAATGCCACGGCGGAGAGCACGCGTGTACGCGTATATACGCGCGCGCGCGCGCGCACGGTCTCTAACAAGCAAGCAGTTAATCCCCGTGCGGCTTTATCTCGCGGCGAGCAATTCGTCACGAGAGCAAGAGATCTCCGCGCGCGTCGAGTTGAACGACCAGCTGATTGAATAAAGCGCGCTGCGACGAGCGTCGCACGCCCGCTCGCATTTCATTCCCGATTGCAAGTCCGCGCGGCGCGCACTAATCGACAGTCCGTCCATGATGCTTCTCGTCTGTTGCAGATCGAGGGCGCACTCGACAATTGGGACGCCGAGGCCTTCAAGCCCGGTAAGTATGGTGGCGCGCGTCGTTGCGCAACTGCAGCTGCTTGCCCCGTCGCCCCGTCGCCCCGTCACCCCGTCGCCCCGTCGCGGAGACGAGCTCGCGCGTCGCGAGGCTGCCGTTCCGCGGGCCCCTCGCCGGTAAATCATGCCCGCGAGCTCGATGCGATCCTTCCGCACGCCGGCGACTCTTCGCGGAACGGACCTCATGCGGGCCAATGCTTCTCACGCTGGTCGCGTCGGCGCGGCCGCCGCAGGCCCTCTCGTCGCCGTGGCCTACGTTCTCGTCAAGCGCGCGTTGGCGACAATTAAAAAGCGCTCGATGCGTCTGCGACCGCGCAGCAGCGATTAAACTTCAATCTTCGTCCTCTCGGCCGCTCGGACCCCCGCTGACCTCTCCCGTCGTTGTTTGTGCCGAGGCGCGTGCTCCGTTTTTCTCTTTCTTCCGACCTCCGACGCGCTCGTTTGCCGTCGAAATTCGCGGAACGAGCGCGCGAGCCGAGCCTCTTCTTGCACGCCGATGCCGAATAATAACTTGATCGCACGGCCGGCACTTGGCGCTCCGAGCGCGGACTTTTGACGCGCTGATGATGCGTCTTTAAACGCACGGCATTAGCTCGTTTCGAAAAATTGCAGCGACCTCGGAAACAACACCACTGAGGCAGTCGCGCGGCGCAACGAGTCATCTCAATTAGCCGGGAATTTTCGGCGGGATTGGGCGCTGGGGTGGGGCGAATAGCGGGCAGCTGCCACGTAATTCTTTACGAAGAGGAAGAAAGTTAGATGCGTGTCTGTGCAGGTGAGCTGTTCCCGACATCGTTCTGGGACGCCTACTGGTCGTATTTGGAGGGCTACGCCGAGGCGCGTCGCACCCTGGACGAGCTGCAGGCGAACGAGGACCCGCTGCTGCGCTTTCTCGGGCTGCGCCAGGCGGCCGCGAGGCACTCGCCCTCCTCTCTGCTTCTTCTGCCGGTGAGTCTCGCTCTCCGCGTACGCGGGCCTGGCGTGTCGCGCGACGAGAACGAATTACCGTCCGGTAACGCGCTCGAGGCAACGACCAGTCGCGATGTCGATTGCCGCATGGCTCCAAATTAGCGTGCGATCGGAAGGACGGATGAGGGGGTGTTCGAACGATTGATTACTCGATCGGCGGGGGCAAAAGGAGCGACGTCATGCTCGCCGTCGCGTAGAACGAGGAAGAGTCGCGAGCGCAGCCTTGGGGGCCCGGACAGAAACGCTCGCTCATTCACTTTCCTCGGCGGCGAGCCCGAGAAGAGAGCCTTTACATTGTACTCGCAGTTGTGCGTGGCTTGCGTCGCACGAGGGAGCTGTCGTTGAGCATTAGGCTACCAGCGTACATGCACACCTACGCACGGACAGGCGGACTTGTTGTTCACCGAGCAAGACAGAGGGATTCGCGATGATCGACGACTAAGTTGCACGGGTCGATGTTGATTGACCGATAAGGCGGCAGGAGCGCGTGCGTGCAGTGAAAGTCGCGTAGCGCTCGTCTGCTTTATCCCGAGGCCGATGTAGCGTTCCACAGCTCCAGGCGCCTCTGTCGACTACTCGTTCTTCTTCGAGCACAACGGAGCCACGAGTCATTAGCATAATCGAAGGCGTACGGCATTGTGCAATCAGCCCGGTGCGATGCTCGCGACGATCGGCAGTCGGCGCGAGTCGTGCGCTTGGCGGAAGAGGCGCGCGCGGGGACGAGCGAGGGTAGCAGGTGGTTTTTCCGTCCTCGCGGAGATAAGCGGCGTTTCCGCGTGGGTCTCGGCCGCGCGCGAGAGAGCGGAAGAGCGGTACATCGTGCGCGCGCGACCGATGAAATACCGAGTTGTAAAGGGAGCTTGCATTCGGTACTTAGCTCTCTCTCTCTCTCTCTCTCTCTCGGCGGTAATTTACGGTGACGCGACCAACGTATAACGCGAGAGCATGTTATAATCTCCTCTCGTCGCACGAACTCCTCTCTTTCTCGCCGCGCTCAAAGCCAGCGAGCAAGCGCATTGTTCATTAAATCCTCGTCGTCGTAGTCGTCGTCGCGAGCCATTATATCATTGGGCCGATCGCCTGCGATAAATCACTCGTTGTTTATGTAACGATCAATTAACATTTTTCGTCAAGCCTTATTTTATTCGAAGCCTCTGTGTGTGCGTGCGCGCGCGCACCAGTCTATGTGTGTACATCGGACGATCGTGCGTGCCGTTTTAATTAGCCAAATGTCATTTCGCAATTATTAATGCAACACATTCCTCGAGTACTCAGCGGATACGAGCGTTAATTGCAGACCACCGCAGTTCCACGTACAGTCGTACGTGGCTGCGCGAGGTCAATTTGGCAGAAGCACGATGACGTCGCGCGTTCAACTCGGCGGCGCGTCGGCCGCGAAAGGGCAGGGTGCAGGCTAGCGGTCCGCCGACGCGTACACCTGCGAGAGAGGACGCAAATATCCACGGCGGAGCTGCGGCGCGCACGGAATATGATGCGAACGCGGCAGATAGAGGCGTATGTATCGCGTGCCGCGGCACATCCGACCGAGCGGATAAGTCGTTTGTCTTGTACCTACTTGGCTGCGCACAAGCGCGGCTCTGATCCGCACTTTACAGTTAGCCCGCGGGGCTTTGATTTTTCCGATCGCGTTTATCGGCTCTCCATCTACCTCTATCCCCCTTTGCCAATGATACAGCGCTCGCTTGGACTCGCCTCCTCTCGCTCTCGCAGCTATGCGCGCGCGCGGCTAATTATCCTTTTTGAGCGAGCGCAACTGCGCCTGCCTGACTGACAGCTAACAGTATCGAGTTTTGCATGCGCGCTTCCTTCTGCCCCCCCCCTCCCCCGCGCGAGCATGTTAACCTTATCGTTACAAGTATATATACGTCCCCCTTGCCGTACGGCGCTCTCTCCCGCCCCCTTCCTTTTTCTATTCTCGCTGTTTGGCGCAACGCTGCTTGCTCATTTTTAATTTCCACAAGCCGCTCAGCCGGTTTTTAATAATTATCCCGATCGCCGCGGAGACGAGACGGCCGCACTAAGCAATCAATCAGCGGCCAATAAAATTGCCATTCGATCTCTCGTCGCAGATACTCGCAAGGGAGAATGGCGCGCTTGAGTAACGGTGCGCGAGCTAGTTGCGAGGGAGCTTTGGCCAACGGTCCGCGTCTAAGCCGACAGCTCTTCCCCTCGCTGATAAAGTGTCGCGCCGGATCGAGTTATCCAGCGAATTGGCCGATGCACTCAATGCCGCCGCTCGCGCGCCAAAGAGAGGATTACGCGCGCAGTTTTGTCGCGCGACAGAGCTGCCTCGTAAATCGAATGGGCGCGGCGAATTAATTAGATGCGCGTACCGAGCCGAGCCAATGCTATCGGTGACTTATTACGCGGACACGATTAATTATGGGACCGCCGGTGCCTGTCCGCGCTTCTTGCGGGTGCGTGCCTTGTACGCGTTGCTAGCGATCATTCATTAGTTGCCAAGTCCATTGGCAGATTGCTCCGTGCCGCGGTAGACCAGCTCGCCACGGGACGGTAATTAAAGTGCTGTACGTGCGCGGCTCCGACACCGGCCGAGCTTTCAGACGTCCCGCTCTCGGATTGCCGCTGACGAGTTGGAAAAACGCCGCGGCCTCTGTGCGACGGCAGCCGCGCGGATCGCGCGGCCCAGTCTCCGAGGGATGGGGAACACGGCCGAGAGACGCTTTGCCCTCTTTGCCGAAACTCGACGGTAGCTTGTAGGCAATTTGGACCGACGCCCGCACCTTCGCGCCCGACAAGCCGCGCATATCCCAGTCTCTCGCGCGGCGCCAGTCGACTGCTTCGATTTTTCCTCGTGCTCACCGCCGCCGCCGCCGCCGCCGCAGCCGCGATGCATATCAACGCATATTTCCTTCGCTCGCCGCGCGCGTTCAGCTGACTTAAGGCTTTAATGCTCGGGCCGCGCCGCGCGCAACAGGTTTTACTTCCGCGAGCTTCCCCCTTAAATACAATCATTATACGCGCGCACCGCGCCGAGCGATTTAAGCGACACATGCGACGATGGAAACGCGACGTGGCTTTTACGTAACCGGCAGCATCACTAACGCAAGCTGCTCGCTCGCAAGATCCTCTTCGGCTTCGCGCACGTATAATTTCGCTTCGCGACAATGGCTTTGACAATTAGCTTTTGATTCTCGAGCGCGCAGCCTGCATTAGCGCTTCCTTCGAAGACTGATTATTGCTGAATAATGCAACAGCCGACTGAATAATATCATCGTTCGCGTGTTCAAGGCATCTTTAATCGTTGGTGATTGAGCCTAGAGAAGGCGGGAACGAAACCTAGCATGTTCTTACTTTTAAGTTAACTCAACTCTTCGCTGTGAGATCTGGAAAGTAGTGTTATCCTGGAAAACCGATCGTCTAGTTAAGATTCTTTTTCAACATTTTGCAAATTAATTTTCCCGGAATTATCGTTCGCCCATTTTATCCAATTTGAGTACTCGCGCAGGGCCTTTGAATGCATTCGAGAATGCTGATATCCGAGGATGAATTTTTTCCATTAGACCTATTACAAGATGAAAATAGAGATGGGTTCGCTTGTTACGTTTTAATGAATATATTTTGGGCAATTTCAAGATTCTTTTGTTAGTTATACATGCAATTTTGATTGCAAATTGCGCGAGTCCTTCGAAAGTACGTTTAAATGGTCGTCTAGCAGAGGCAGCCGTATATTTGTATTGGAATAGCGTGTAAATTGAAGTATTATTACGATACTTGTATTGGGCAGAAGTAATTTCGTTCTGGACTTGGCGATGAATATCGAGCGAGCGAGAGGTATCATCAGCGACAGGCCGTTGAGCAGAGCAGACGGAATCGACGGCGCGAGCCGCGTCAATTATCCGCTGGTTGTAGATTTCCTGTTACAGCGCGTTGCGATTTCGCGCGACACGTCGACAGTACCGACGGCTCGCGAGGGCTGTCCGCGCGAGGTTAATAAATGCAGTGCGTTTCCGAGCGAGATTACAGCGCGCACGAGGGGAGAGGCAGTCGCGTAGTCGCGGCGCAGCCAGCAAAATCGAGCTCCCAATTGAAGCTTCAAATTGCCCTCAACGCCGGAGTCCGGCCTTCTTTCTTCCTCCGTATCCCGGCGTAGTCGGTGCTTAATCGCCCGAGCTCACGCAACGCGCATCCGAAATTCGCGCGCCGGCATAGGCCGTTCTCGTGCGCGCTCTCGCGGGATTCCGCAGGGCCGCCGCCGAGCAATTCGGAGCGCGGCAAGGACAGCGATTAATGCTCGAGCTAGGCGCGACCACGACGGCCGCTCGCTCGAGCGCGGCGTACTTTCCTTCGCGCTCCTCGCTCGGGCGAGTGACTTGCCACGGGATCCACTTGGCAATCCGCTCGCTCGGGCGTTAAATTGAGAAAACGCCCGTAAACGATCGATTGCAGGACGATCAGCCCCCTTCCTCCCGACGTTTCGTCCCTTTCGGCTGATTAGCGCGGCAGCTGATCGAACGCACTTTACGAGGCCCCTCTCTCGCGCGCGCAACCGCTCGCTTTCAGTTTCGCGCGCACGCGGGCTACGTTTTTTCATGTCGGCCAGTCGACGCTTCCGCTGGAACCGGTTAATCGCGCAGCGACGACGACCACGACCATGACCACGACCACGACTACGACGACGACGATGACGACGACGACGACGTCGAGAACGACGACGACGACGACGACGACGACAACGATTGATTGAAACGAATCAGTGGCGGCCGCCTACGAGGGGGGAATTGGCTTCTGCCGCGCTCTTCGATTAACTCGGTCGCCACGAGCGCAGCCGAGATTTGCTTCGGCGCTTTATTTGCGCTCTCTCGCGCAAGGGGACGATTGCGAGGAGGACGTGCAGGGTAATTTGTCCTCGGAATCGATTCACTCTACGGGCGCAGGGATTATGCTAATTCGCGGGAGAGGAACGACGAGCTGAGTTACGAGCTCGGAAGAGCCGAAGCCCACGTCCCCTGTACACTACGCGAAAGCCAAACGCGTACTTGTGGCTTTTGAAATATCAAGCGAACGAAGCAGTTTTACCAGCATTAATTCACTCTATTTTATTGTGTGCGCGCGCGTTGCCGCATTGTAGTCGAGAGTAAAGCGCGAGAAACCATTACTCCTATCTAATGAATAGGGAATATAATAAGTCCGTGTGGCCATTAAATTTTCAAACTTATTTGCACGTAAATTACGGCGTAGTCGCGGTCACTGGTCTGCTTCTCGAATTCTGATTGTTCTGCCAAACTTTCACCGGTTAATTGATTCCCCGGCAATTACGCGCCCAGGAAAGATGTGGCGTTCGCGAAAGTATGACCACTCTCGAGCATCAATTACGTACCACGAGGGTCGACTTATGACATGCAGGTCGCGTCGGCGCCTTACACATGTCGCCTCGCAGCTCGTATAGATGCCTAAGCTCTCCACCCCCCCCCCCCCCCCGTTTGCCGTTGGGCGTCGCGCTTTTTATTCGCGACGCGTGCTCTTCGCAACACATTTCGGAAGCGCACGTCCACAAAGACGCGGGCGCAATTAATAAAACATCGTCGTACGTGGCCAAGTCATCGCGCACGCACGGGAGCGGGGGAGCCGATCGGCGAACAAAGCCGAGTGCGCAGAGGGGCGAGGCCGGACGTCACGATTCGCGCGTGCACAGCCGCGAGCCGCCACTGGCAAGTGCAGCGCGGCCCTCCCTCGAATACGTAAGCGCGCGTCTCCGCTGCCGTGCGTTCGGCCTGGAAATGGGCTGCGGGGTCTGCGCGCGCGAAAACGAGCGCGCGGCCGAGTTAGAAATCGCGGCGAGAAAGTCGGCGCGCGCCGGCGACCCGACCACCGCTTCGGGGTCATTTGTCCGCCGATGAGCCTGGGCAATTGACTTTCCCGAGTGTATCGAGTGTTGGTGGCGCGTGTCCGAGAGCCTGGCGGATTTCTATTCGTGAAATCGAAGCTCGCGCGACCGAGCGGCTCTGCGCCTGGATATCGGCTTACCGTTTGGAAAGCTGCCGCCTGCGCCGCCGTCGCTGCCGCTGGATCGGCGTGAAAAATGCGGGATGCCAGCGGTCGATAAAGGGTCCTGCGTGTCCTCGCCGCTTCCTCGAAGCGAGCCTCTGAAAGTCAGCCGCCTCCGGCAACAGCAGCAGCAGCAGCAGCAGAACAGCCCTCGCGAGCGGATAATTAGAAGAGGAAGCTGAAGGCGGCCATGAATAAAAGATTTTCCAGCCGAGAGGTGTCGGCTACCTGAGATACGCGCGATCTATCGTGCACCGCATGGGAAAGAATTCCGTCTCTCGCGCTATAATATCGTTGCGTGAGCGCCACCGAACGAGCCAAATGGGCACTTTGGCCGCGGGCCTGGCTCGAGCGACGAGTTCGCGCCTCGCCGCTGAGCCTCTGCCTGCGGACAGTTTATGAAAATGAAAGTGCGCGGAAAACTACAGGACGCGTTTTTCGATTGAAGCCGTTGGCGAATCAATATCTGGCGCTCGCTAGCTTTCTCGCGCAGGTGAAAGCAGCGCATTATTGTTGATTGTCCGGATTTTTCGCGATTGTCTGCTCGTGCCTCGAAATCCGAGGCATTTTCACGGACGCGCATGGTCGGCGCCGAGGCCAACGAGAGAGTTATCGGCGGCTATAAATTGATATTCATATTGCAATTTTCCCGCCGCGAATCGTAATTCAAAATGCCGGCCGTCCAAGAGCCGCCGCCGCCGCCGCTGCCGCCGCCGCCGCCGCTCGTGGGAATGACTTTCAGTTGGCGCGGGCTTTTACAATGTCGGTTTCGCGGATAAATTGACGGACGTGTTTACGAGCAGGCGGGAGGCCTGCGATGAGAGCGACGCGCATCGATCGTAAAGTTTATAGCGCGCGCAAGGTCGCCGGCACTCACGCACTCTCGCAATTGATAAAACGCCCGTGGAGCGCGGAGATCGGCCAAGAGTCGCCGGAGCAGTGCACGGCGATCCGAGCGAGAGTCGGCCACGTGCACTTTCACTGTCGCGCGCGTGTACTCCGAAAGAGCCAGGCAGTCTGCGCCGCCGCGAGCGGGAAAGCGACGACGCGCCTGCTGGGAGTCGTCGCGCCACGTCACCTCCAGCTGGAGGTCGGGACCTCGATCGGCCGGTCGCTCTCGAGAACTCGACAAGTGCGCCGATAGCTGCGCATGCAATGCCCTCGCCAATGCTCCTGTTCCGGTGCCCGCGGATACGCGAACCACTTTCGTGGCTCGAGCGGCCGCCAATCGATAATGCCCGCCGCACCTTTCGTTGCCGTCGCGCCACGAAAGGAAATTGCCACTTCTATCGGCTTTTCACACTCGATCTCTCCCTGCGCGCGTATCCTCTCAGCACTCCTTCGTTGCAGTCGGTCGCGATGCGTTTCTTCGATTACCCGTTACGAGCAAATAACCGGCGTTGGGCAGCTCTCCGTGTCGCCGTCACGCTTTGCTGTTCACCGCGAGCACACAGCGCGAAGCCACGCGGAGCCGCGTCGATCGATTTTCCCTCGCCGTCCGCGCGCGATCGCCCGGAAACTCGCGGATCGTTCCGCGCGTGCTCCGACCTGGATTTCCCGAGCGAGCGGCGACGCCCGCCGGTGCGCGCTGTCTCGCGAGCTTTTCGGCTTGCTCGACGGTTCCTCGCCCGTCGGCGCCGACAGCAGGGCGCGAGCGGCAGCGACGCGCCGTGCGCAGCTTTTACGGAGAGAGATCGATACGATCGCGGCGGTATGCGCGCTCGGGGATACACACACGCATATGTAGCTAGCGGTACCGGGCTCGAGTCCGCTATGCGCGTGCGAGATTGTTATTAACAATACGAGCGGCCGGCCGACTCCGACACGTCTCTATCAGGCGCGCGCGCCGCCGAGGATGATACATCGGCGCATTGTGCGAAACGGTCGGACGGCGCGCGCCGCG